AAATTAGACAGCAAGACCTTGTCTAAAGTAAAAATAGTTCAAAAAAAAAAAAAAAAAAAAAGACACTTGGTTCTAAACTCTGACAGTGTTCTCTTCATGTTAGAGGAATTGATATGTGTATGTATCATACACAGACACATGCGTGCATGTGTGTATATATATGGCATTCATATATATTCAGATACATGAAAGTCATATTTGTGTGTACGTATTTATGGATATATGTGCGTGTTTATGAACACAGACATACCTACACTACTTACGCACTTACCACAGGCTCTTGACTGGTGTCCTTCCATCCACATAGTTTTATTTGCAGTTTATTCTGTAGGGAGAGTGATCTTCTAAAAAATGCACATTTGATTGTTTTTCTCCAGTTTAACCCTTATAACTCACCCTTGCTATAAGGTTATCAGATCTAAAATCCTTAGCATCTATGGACCGGCCAGATAGCTCAGCAGACTAAAGCACTTGTTTAGGCAGAACGCAAGGGTTGAAGGTTTGATCCCCTGCGTGCCATGCAGGACGCACCCCTATAATCCCAGCACTTGGGAGGCTGAGAAAACAGGAGAATCACTGTAAGTCCAATCTACGTAGTTAGACCCTGTACTAAATACATTAAAAAATAAATAAAATCCTTGCATCCTGGCAGTGTTCTTATGATTTGGCCCCAGCTTCCCTCTTCTGTGGTGTCTTTGCTTGTACTCACTGCACTTCAGCTGTACTATGGAATGTTGAAGTCTTCCTCACAGTTTCTTTACTGAGATAAACTCTTGTGTCTCAGGGTCGTGTACCTATACCCTGAAAGCCCTTTTCTTTCTGTTTACCTTAATAAAAATATTATTAAAGAAACCTTCCTAAAAAAACCCTGGACTGAGAGGCAGGCCACTGATAGTGCTCTTATTTATTAGCTTCTGTACCGTAATTGTATTTCCATGCATCTTCCCTGTCATCCACAGGATAGTTTATTTTGTACTCTATTAAGCACTAACGTCAGAAGCCAGTTAATAGTACATACAATAGTAAGTTGAGGCTTGAGTTTTGCAACTCTTTAGCATTTCTTTTCCCTCCCTCCCTCTCTCTCTCTCTCTCTCTCTCTCTCTCTCTCTCTCTCTCTCTCTCTTTCTTTCTTTCTTTCTTTCTTTCTTTCTTTCTTTCTTTCTTTTTGGCAGAACCAGGAGTTGAACTCAGGCCCTTGCACTTGCCAGGGAAATGCTTTTTCTACTGAGCCATCTTCCTGGCCCCTCTTTAGCATTTCTAATCTAATTTTTCTAACAATTTTATGGCTATTTTGAAGCATTAATCTGTAACAGACACTTTTTTTACTACAGTTAACTTGAGAAATACTGAAGTACAACCTAGGATGTAGGCAGCTACGAAGGGATGGCGAATAATCACAGTAATGATGGTAGTGTTAAGTTCATGTAAAATACAGTTAGGACTTGCTGTCGGGTACTGAAGAGGATGAAGTGGTTAGACTGCACTGCACGGTATATGTAGGTGGAGGGCGGAGGCGAAGCCCAGGAGGGACCTGTTAGTTGGACCAGCCCTGCAGCTGCTGTGTGTGGGGAGAAGATGTGTTGTGTACAGCGGTGGGAGACTGTTACATTCCCTAAGTTGAGGGCTTTGTATTTGTAACATTCAATTCTGGAAATTATTGTGTAGTATTTGCCAACTAACCATAATCTAAATTTCTTTTCTAGATTTTTTTGGTCTTTTTAAGACAAGGTCTTGCTATGTAGTTCAGGCAGGCCTTTAGCTCACTATGTAGTTTAGACTGGTCTCAAACTCGCAGCAGTCCTTCTGGCTTAGCTCCTGCGTATGGGATTTTAGGCATTTGCTACCATGCCTAGCATCTTTTCTAGTTTTTAGACAATATGATGTTTGAGAGTTGAGGGGATCATCCATTTTGGTTGAATTTCACTTCTTGGATCATGTGTAAAACTGATTTTATTAGTTTACTGTTGCTGTTTCAGAAATTAAAAAGAACTCTACTGCCAATTACCAGAGTCCAGCGGAAAGTGTGAGCACCAGTGGAAATCTGCAGAAATATGGTGAATCCTCCCCAGATGCTGTTAGTACGAATTCAGAGGGTGCTCAAGAGAACCATGATGACCTGGTAATCACTTTAGAGATACTGTATGAAAGAAATACCATCAACTTTTTTCATATTTGATGTATATATGTTTTAAGATACTAATGTATAAAATGAAGTCTTAGATGGTGGATGGTTTACTCTGTTCTTTGTACTTTTTTTGATTTTAATTTAGGGTCAAGATTTTGCTCTAGTCCAGGCAAGTCTTAAACTCACTATGTAGTCCAAGATGCCCTTGATCTTGTGGCAGTCTTCCTTCCTCAACCTCCTGAGTGCTGGGATTACAGGCATGTGCTGTCACAGCTGGATTACTCTTTCTACTCTGGAGAATGTTTTCTTGTGGAATGAATTGGCTTTCTTTTCTATTTACTTTTCAAAATTTGTTTTTAATTATTTTACAGAGGGGAGGACTTATCTTTTTCTGTTTTGTCTTTTTTTTTTTTTGGACCTATAGTTTCTTTTAAATATAGTACTTGTTTTTGGTACTGGGTGTTGCACTCAGGACCTTGCGCTTGCCAGGCAGGCTCATGATGCTGAGCTGTCTCCCCAGCCCTTAAATACACTTCTTTTTTTGTTTGTTTGTTTGTTTTTGCGCAGACTGCCTTCAAGGCATGACTGGCTGTCTTGTGTTGTGGGGATCGAACCACAGCAACCTGAGCCTGACTGCTTTGTTGAAGCAGCCACTTAAAGAACTGAGCTAAGGAGCAGGTCCCCTTAAATACACTTCTTAAGAAAGGTTTGATACAGGGAAGAAAATCCTTATAATATTTGGCTTTCTACAAAGAAAATTTATTACTGTTTTCTTTTAAACCATTCTGAAGTAGTGGGATATTTATAAGAAAGACATTAAAAATGTGTTACACATCCTAGTTTTAGTGAAAATCATTTTATGCGGAAGTAATATAATTAATCTGTGCCAACTAAAATAGTTTTCCTTGACTGAATGAAAAGACTAAGTTTATCATTACAGGATGAGAGTCCCTTGTGCAAAATTTTTAGGACCAAAAGCATTTTTTTTTTAATTTGGGATATTTGCATATACATGGTAAGATATCTTGGAGATGGACTAAGAGGAAATATGAAATCTATTTATGTTTTGTACACCTTGTATAAACGTAGCATGGTAATTTTGTATAAAATGTTTAATAATTTTGTGCATGGGGCTGGCCAGAGAGCTCAGTGGATTAAAGCACGTGCTCAGGCAGATGTAGGGGCTGGGGTTCAATCCCTGGCATGCTGTGCTGGCCCCGCCCCCATGGTGCACTGAGATTGAAATCGAGCATGATGGCATGTGCCTGTAATTCTAGTGCTTGGGAGGCTGAAAACAGGAGGATCACTACAAGTCTGATCTGTGTAGTGAGACCCTGCAGACCCTGTACTAAATACATTTAAAAAAATAATAATTTTTTTGCATGAACTGGGTGTGATGGTAACCCCTGTAACCTCAGCAGCTGGGAGGTTGAAGCAGGAGGATCACCATGTGTTTGAGGCCAGTCTGGTCTACATGGTGAATTAAAGACAGGTCCAAAGTATACAGTGGGATCCTGTCTCAACCAAAAAATAAATAATAAAAAAAAATAATGTTCGTGAAGGAGAATTGCACAATGCAGAATATCTATTTGTCCCATCATGTTGTCACTCAAAAAGATTAGATATCTGATTTTAATAGATACCTAATCTATTACATTACACTAGGTGTAGTCAACTTTTGTGATGTAACTACTGGCTCTGTGGGTCATAGATATCTATCTAGTTTGATAAAACACAAATGTATTTTTAGAAATGAATGATCAGGGCCGAGGAGATGTCTCAGTAGGCTAAGTGCTTGACTGGCAAATGCAGCGATCTGAGTTCAATCCCTGGTTCTGCCAAAAAAAAAAAAAAAAAAAAAGAAATGAATGATCATTTATTATTTCTTAACTTTAATTGATACACGTATTATTTGTGTCATCAATAATAGATGTCAGTTGTGGTGTTTAAAATTACTGGTGTTAATGGGGAAATTGATATCCGAGGAGAAGATACAGAGATGTGTCTTCAAGTGAACCAGGTGACACCACATCAGTTGGGCAATATCAGTCTTCGGCATTATCTTTGTAATCGTGCAGTTGGTAAGATTTTCTTTTTAACTTACTTTGTGTACATAATACTTTAATGTGATTTAAACTTTTTAAAATATATACATAGGACTAATCAATATTGTCTTTGATGTGTTGAATGAAAATTACATTTCAGAAAAAAAGTCATTGAGCTATCATATTTCTCTTAGAAAAATACGTAGAATCCCATATCATACCTAATATGTTGAAATAAATACAGCTTTGGATGATAGCAGAATTATGCCATCACTTTACGTTCTGGGAATTAGAGGGGAATTAGTGTATAAGCCATCATGGCTTTTTGGCGTTTTTCTATGTTAGGCCTTGTGATGTATAGTATATCTGCTGAAAGGAAAGAAATAGAGGAATTTTATATTAAGTGTAAATCCTAAAGCTTTGCAAAATAGAGGAAGCTGAATTTATATCTAGAGAAGTTTCATAGTGGAGAAAAAACAAAAGTTAATGTGAAACTTTCAGAACCTTCTGTATTCATTCTCAACACTTCATACTGTACACTCACATTATTTCTGCTGCATAATTTTTTCTTTTATCAGTTACAGCTTACTTAATACCATTACCTATCACTTGTTTCATTTTTTTTACTTGTTTCATTTTGTATCTAGATGAACAAGTTTTTTTTTAGGGTACAAATTAGAATTAAAGCAGAATTACAAGTGATACAGAATTTCATGTAACAATGTAATATGAATTTCACAGTATTTGTTGTAATACATAGTGTTGTTTTCCAACCAGTTATTCATATTATTAGATATATGCATGTAAAATTGGAAGAAGAAAAAAAAGAAATGTCTAAGAAATTAAGAAGACAAAAAAGAGAAACAATTGAAAAAAGGAGATGAAACAAATTAAAGCATTAATTGCTTCTTTCCATAGATCAGCAGAAATCCACAGTACAGTTGTCCAAACCATCCTGCTTACATACATAGATAAATCTCTGTCCTCATTCCCTTTCCTGTCCTCCTCAACTTAGTACTCTTGCCTTTTGAATAAGTTCATTCCTTTTGCAGTGTCTATTGTACCCTTCAGATTCCATATTTCTCCTTCAGGTTCTTACACTTAAAGAGACAATATGTTCCTTGCATATGTGTGTCTGATTTATTTCACTTAAGACTGTGTTCTTTGGTTGCATCCATTTACCAACAGAATACTCAAATTTATTCTATTTTCTAGCTGAATAATACTCCATTGTGTAAAAATACCACATTTTCCTTACTCATTCTTCAGTTGATGGGCATCTGGGTTTCCAGGATTTAACTATGACAGATTGCGCTGCTATAAACATGGGTGCACATATATTGCTGTGGTATGAGGTTTTTAGTTCTGGACAAATTCCTAGAAGAACTAGAGTGGAATAGCTGGCTTGAATGGGATCTCCAATCCTAGCTTTCTAAAGAAATTCCACACTGATTTCCATTGTGGTTGTACCAGTCTGCACTTCTACGAACAGTGCAGAAGGTAAATGAACAAGTTCTTTTGGCTGTCTTGTTTGGGTTGTATAGTAAGGTACAAATACCTTATTTTTTTCTCACCTATCTCAGTTGTTTTCTTTGAAGAAGAAAAGGAAAAGGAGAAAGAATAGAAGAGAATAAAAAGAATGGGAAAACAATAAGTAGTTTAGCTTGAACGTTTCGAGAATAATCAACATTGACAAGAATGGTGTTTAATGGGAAATTTGTATACACAGTTAGCACTCTGATAATGTTACAATTTGGTCTGAATTTTCTGTCTGGTTCCTTTTTCTCGCTATCTGTGGGTGTTGGCTCCCTTGAATAGGCAGCTGGATTAGGCACCCTTTCCTCACTGGAAGACAATGTCACTGACAAAGCAGTGGGAGGTGAGATTTATTTTGGCTCACAGTCTCAGCGAAGGTTTGTTGAAACCTTCAGGGAAAGAATACAGCCTTCCAGGTTATTCCCTCAGTACCCATGTCCTGTACTGGGCCCCACATCTAATAACGCAACCACCTACGAACTCATAAGCATTAGCAACCCTAGCCCACCTCTCAGCTTGGGAGCACTGAGCATACACTTTGGACTTTGGACACACACAGTAGTTCCCTGGTGTTGGGAAGGGGGTGGGAATGGGAGGGAGGATTTTTGTTTTTAACCTGTAAAGTTTTTGTTTTCTTTCTGCTCCAGGATAGTTTTTTGGGATGGTATTGGGGATTGAACTGGAGCCGTCATTCTGAACTGTATCCATTGTCAACCCTTTATAAAATGTTTTATTTTGAGAAAGGACCTTACAAAGTTGTCTACTCTGGGCTTAAACTTGTAGTTGTCCTTCCTCAGCCTCCCAGATGCTGAGATTACATTTCTACCTGCTAATTTCTTTTATTACTGCATCAACAAGGTAACTCCTATTTTTCTTGATATTGGGAAGAACACTTACAATTACCAGTTGTTTCTTTTTTACCTTTTTAAATAAAATTTCTTTTTTCCTTTTTAAATAAAAATAAAATATCTGAGATTTTAAATATTCAAACAATTACATTTGATATACTTTCTGTATTATAAATGTTAAGTGAACAGTATTAACATTAACTAAATGTAATTTTGTACCCGAATAAAAATTTTAACGCTAACTCTGCACATTGAGTTGCATGTAGAGGCCTCTCCTACATTCATAAATATTCATAGCTTTACTTTTTTGGCAAGCCCTGCCTTCAAATGTGTCTGCATTTGTTCTCAGTAAGATTATTCATACCCATGCTGAGGGAAAATAAAGTCTTTCCATCATAAATTTAATTAGTGGGACCTTTTTATGAGGACTTATGAGATGATTAGCTTTCATGCCTCAGAAACGGACATGGGTTTTCCTTTCCAAAACAACTGGTTTGTGTTTTTCCTCATGAATTCTGTGAATAAGGAACCTGCTCATTCTTTTCTTGTTGTTGCTAGGAAGCTTACTTTTGGTTCACCTTTAATCCTGAAATTTCATGTGTTGTGAGTCTTTAATCTTACCACCTACCTTCAGCTTTTCTTATTTTTTGTTTCATCATTTTAATGGGATTATGCTATGTGCACATTGTTTCCTATTTATTTAGAGGTAGGCAGCATAAAATAAGTAAGCATAGTAGTTACCATTCGTGTCAGTTCCGAAGTAATTTCCTTCAATAGTTCCACCAGTAGCTTTTTAAAAGTTAGTCTATAACAACTTGTTGACATTTGAAATTTCCCTTTTAAACTTGCATATTTGTAGCTCAGCAAGCCATCTCAAATTCTTTTTAGGAATGAGGCCAAGGCATAGATAAATGTGTTATTTTATATATAATCACATATATATTCTTTATAGTAATTTCAGTAATTTGTCTCTTAATAGAAACATTTTACTGAGGTCTTCTCTGTTTGCTTGTCCATTATTTAAGGGCCCAATTGAATGAGGAAAGTACAAACCCTGACCTTGGTTGCTCTCGAGACACAGCTTGCCAGTCACTTCAGATGCTGTGACTGTTCACTGCAGTCACCCGTTCTACCGCACGTGTATAGCTAGGTATTCACTCAGACACATGTTAAGTATCTGAAGTGGGTATCACATTAGTTATAACATGTTTTTTCCTATTATAAGAAATAGAAAATAGAAAAGTCAACATAAATCACAACATTAATTAATTCATAGTGATACTTTTTGAGTAGCATTGCAAAGTTATGATTTTTTTATGTTCATTTTCCCTAGGTTCTGATCAGAAATCTGCATTTCATTCCAAATCCTCTCCTGAGATTTCACTGAGGTTTGAAAGTGGGCCTAGTGCTGTAATACATTCATTGCTTGCAGAAAAAAATGGATTTCTACAATGCCATATAGAAAACTTTAGTACTGAGTTTCTTACATCTTCTCTGATGAATATTCAACATTTTTTGGAAGATGAAACTGTTGCAACAGTAATGCCAATGAAGATACAAGTTTCTAACACAAAAATAAATTTAAAAGTATGTTAAAGGATAATTTTCTATTTTCATGTTATTAGTGTTCATACTCCTTCCTCAGTTTTGATTCATGTCTAAGACTATGTCTTCTCCATAACCTACACTGTATTAAAATGAGTTTAGTGCTTTTTATGATGAATGATAGAGATCCTCACAAGTTAGAAAATCTCAAAGTAGACCAGGTAAGTCTTGCCATATCACCTAAAGCATGTATAGATAGGCAGTATTTCTAACTCGTTAAGAATACAGACAGAAGTAATGTTGATTTAAAATGATACTTTTAATTTTGTCATTTATTTGAATAAGAACCTGCTAGCATTCCTTCTTTCCCTGTAGGATGACAGTCCTCGGAGTAGTACAGCATCTCTTGAACCAACGCCTGTAACTGTGCATATTGATCATCTTGTGGTAGAAAGAAATGATGATGGCTCTTTTCATATCAGAGGTATACAAAAAATCATTTAAGCAAATGTCTTCAATTTGAAGTTAAATTATGTTTGTGCTGATTGTATCCTATTACTCATTATTTACTTTGTATTTATATATGTAGTAACAATGGAGGTACATTTGCAGTATATTGTAATAGATTATCTATGAGCCAGACACAGTGCTGAGAAGGCCTTAGGAGGACTGCTCAGGAGGTTGAGGGAGGAGGACTGCAAGTCTTATGCCAGCCTGAGCAACTTAGCCTGTCTTAAAAATAAAAAGTGCTAGGGGATTAGATCTATAAGTAAACTCTGTAAGTAACACCTCTGTAGTTGGTTAATCCCTGTCCTGCACATGTGCTTTGAGCGACAGTGAGCAAGGCTTCTGTGGCTTCTGTGGTTTCTGTGGCTCTTGATCTCACTTCTCCCAGTGAAGCTGTTTGCCTTTATTTCCTGCTGTTCTTTCATGTATACTGCTGTATATTGCTCAGCACAGAATTTGGCTTGCAGTTTTCCATCTCTGTGCTTCTCTTTGCTGTGATATTACTCACTAGAATCTCTTATTTCCTGTGTGGTTTGTTTGTTCACTTATTATGGTTTGGTGCAAGGACCTGGACCCAAGGACCCCTTGTCTGCGCCCGAGCTCTAGCCTGTGCTCCTGTGTAAGTCTTACTGTCCTTGCCAGGTTATCTCAAGCATTTTCTTTTTAGTGAAGCCTTCTTTCTCATCCTGTGAGTTCTCATGGTTTTGGTACCTTTCTGTACACAGTTATAGTATACTGCTAGACAGTGTTTTGGTGTTTGTGCATTCTAATAAAACTCTTAAGATATCTAACATGAGGTTTTTATATCTTAGGAGGTAGTGAGAGTAACAAAACATGAATCAGTAGACCTAGATGTTCTGGTCCTCGCTGTTTTAGTAGCTTATTGAGGATGAAACATGAGTGCCTACAGAAATTTGACTACTGATCAAAACCCTATGAGGGTTGGAGAGATGGCTCAGTGGTCTAAAGCACCTACTTGGAACAAGCTTGGCAAAGTACAGGGACCACGGTTCGATCCCCCAGCACCACATGCCAGCCAGCTGCGCCCCCTGGTGGGCTGAGCTGGCCACACACACACACACACACACAATAAATAAATGTTAAAAAAAAAAATTAAAAAAAAAAACAAAACCCTATGAAATGGCAGAAAATATGTAAAAAGAAGGTTAAAGTAATTAAGAATACTTCAGAAGAATAAGCACCATGAGGAGGTCAGAAATGCTTAGAAGAAAGCAGAGCATGATGGCACGTGCTTATAATCCCAGACTAAGGAGGCTGCAGCAGGATGGTTACAAGTTCCAGGCCAGTCTGGGTTACATAGAAACTTCAAGGCCAGTTTGAGCAGTATCATAAGACCCTGTCTCAGAAAATCAACCCACCAAATAAGTAAAACTAGAAAGGCAAAACCAGATTAGTGTGTGGCTATAAACTCATGAAAGAAGACTGTGCTGAGGTAGGAGCACTGCATGAAGAACACTTAATTCATCAGGCCCTCTGGAGGCTGGGATCAACCAGAGACAGCAGCTGAGGCCAGCAAGAATCAAAGTATCAGCTACATTACGTAAGGCTGTGAGAAGATGCCCTTGCTGTGTGGTTCTAGTTCCCCAAATTACAGGCCTTTCTTCTGGAGGAAGCAGACAAGGGTGTACCATTACTTCTGTATTGAAGGCAAGTGAGAACAGAGTAGGTTGTGCACACAGAGCCCACTTTATTTTCTTTTCTAATCTCATGAATTAGAGAAGCCATACCTTACCTAGGCAGAGGGAAGAAATGAGGCCCTGCAAGTGGAGAACTGTTAAGAGACCCAAGTGGAAACATCCCAAATATCATCATGCAATAAATAATAACAAAGTATGGTAGGTTCACATAATGGAGTATTTTTCAGCAATATGGACTGATATAATGGTACATTTATATCATGGTAACTTGGGAAACATTATGCTCATTGAAAAGCAGTCACAAACGGACAAGAGAGTTGGGATTCTGTTTATGCGAAATGTCCAAGAAGAGGCACATTTATAGAAACAGAATATAAAGTAGTGATGTCCTAGTTCTAAGGGGGATGAGTCTGCATGGAGATGGGAAGAAATTGTAGTGGTTATGAGGCCTTGGGTGTGGATGGAAATGGCAGGTGATTACGGTGATGGTTGCACCATCTGGAGGTATGACGCAAACTTCGGCTTGTGCACCAAATGTGTAGAGGTATATGAAGTAGGCATTTTGGTATTAATCAAGCTACTTTTGGGATCTTTTAACGTCTAGTTTTGGAACCACAAGAGATCCCAGAAACCACCCTACACCTCAAACTATAGCAGGGTTTTTAATGGGAAAGGGGAGTTTACAGTTTGCATGGCTGTTACTGCTTCTTAAATTCAGCTTTAGTATAACTATTGCAGCTGACTCTGTTTCCACTTTTATACCAGGACCTTGACCTTTCAGCTGCTGTCAGTGCTACTGCATCCAGAATGAGAAGGAATTCTCCAGATGGAGAAGTATTTCCATGCCTTATCTTTTTTTAAAATTAAGTTTATTTACATTTTAGGTATGCATAATGATCACATTCATCACAGGGGATTTGTACCTATACAAGATATATCTTGATTCTTCTGTTCCCATTCCCCTACCTCCTTCCAACCCCTCTTCTCTTATTTACAAGAGCTTTGTTTCCATTTTTCCCCTTCTTTGTTTTTCTGTTTCCTCTTTCTTCATTTCCTCTACCTCATTTACCTTTCTATTTGAACTATTTCTTCCTATTTCCCAGTATCTACTACATATTTTGGTCCTTATTTACACTTTTAGCTTCTCACACGAGGGAAATGATGTGGTATTTACACGTGTCTCATTTATTTCACCTAGTATGGTCTCAAGGTGCATCCACTTAGATATAAATGTCTCAAGTTCATACCTCTTTATGGTTCAGTAGTATTCTGTTGTATAAAAAAGTATAAAATCTTTATCCATTCATTATTTGATGGGCATACAGGCTGTTTCCAAGATTTACCTGTTACAAACTGTGCCACTGTAAAGTTGGATGTGCATATATCAGTATGGTATGAGGTGTTTAATTCTTTTCAGATGAGAACAAAAGGGTTAATAGCTGGTTCAAATGGAACATCTAGTTTAGTTCTCTGAGAAATCACACTGATTTCCACAGTGTTTGCAGCAGTCTGCAATTCTATAAACAGTAGAGAAGGGTTCCTTTAACCCTAAAGCCCCACCAGCATTTGTTATTGGTTGATTTCTTGATAATAGCTATTCTTTGTGGGTGAGATGGGATCTCAGTATTGTTTTAATTTGCATGTCTCGAATGATCAATGATGGTGAACATTTTTTCATGTATTTATTTGGTGTTTCTACTTCATCTGAGAAGTGTGTATTCATTCCAGAAGCCCATTTTTAGATTGGGTCTTTATATTTGGAGGTGTTCTGATTTGGGGGGTTTCTTTATGTATTCTAGATAGTAGTCCTTTGAGAAACATCTGGAAAAATATTTTTTTCCCACACTGGATTGTCTAAACACTCTGTTGATGTTTGCCTTTTTTTTTTTTTTTTGCTGTGCAAAAGCTTTTGAGTAGGATGGGATCCTAGTTGTTGATTTTTTGTGATAGTCCCTATGTGTCCAGAGTTTTGTTTATGAAGTCTTTTCCTATACTGATGTCTTCAGTTCTATGTGGTCCCTTTTCTGAAGATTTAGTGTTTCTAGAGTGGGTGTGGTGGTGCGCATCTGTAATCCCAGCCATTGGGAGGCTGTAAACAGGCGGATCACTATGAGTCCGATCTAGTAGTGAGACCCTGAACACCTTGTACACCCCTCCCTAAAAAAAATACAAAAAAAAGTTTTAGTGTTTCTGTTTTAATAGTTAGATCTTTGATCCATTTAGATTTTAGTTTAGTGTAAAGCACAGCAAAACCCAAAAACCTCAGTGGTGCGATGGAAGTATATTATGTTCTTCAGGGTATTGGTACTGTACCTTATTAAGATAATTTATATTAAAGTATTTTTTTCATTGATACAAGAAAAAAGAATAAGTTTTAAATATATATATATATGTCGATTTTTATATAGGGATCGTATATTTTATCTCTGTTCCTTATGAGCAGTATTACAGAGCAGGTTATGATGATGTGTTGTTTTTCATTTGGTGTAGAAATTTAATTGGATTAGGGTGTGGTGTATGTAATGAAACACAGCCTCATGTATCAACAGATACAGCTGCTAAGTTAGTGCATTGTATATATAGCTCAAGCTAATTTGTCAAGTTGCAGTAAATGTTAACAGCAATTGTATTTGTCTCCAGAATGTAGCATTTTGGGAATGATTTGAATGGTCTTTCTTAAACTGTTTTATTTATTTAGGCGGAACTGGAGATTGAACTCAGGCCCTTGCACTTGCCAAGGAAGCACTTATTCCACTGAGCCATCTTCCCGGCCCCTCTTAAAGTGTTAAGAAATTTCAAGCCACCTCCCCTCCACCCCGAGTAAATTTTATATAGAGAGCAAGAGCATTTAGAATGATCTCATTAGTACCTATTGTAGAAGTTAGCAATTAGTACCTATTGTAGGTGTTTGTTGGTGGTGATAATGACAGCTTTCCTATTACTTCTCCTCACTCCTTACTTCATGTATTCTAAGCTCTACTTGTAGCTGTTCTAGGTATTATTTATTTATTTTTAATGTATTTGGTACAGAGTCTCAGACTCCTACTGATCCTCCTGTTTTCAGCCTCCCCAGCACTTGGATTACAGGCATGCACCACCACGCCCGGTGGATGGCTCAGTGCGTCTGGGGGCAAGGCTGGCGTGGCTTGTAGTGCCGGGGATTGAATCTTGGTCCCTGTGTTTGTCTGAGCAGGCACTTAGCCTGCTGAGCTATCTCACTGGCCCTTAAATCCCATCATGTAGAAATAGATTATTTTATTCTCTTTTTCGTCTACTTAATCACAGTTCTTCACATCTGAAAATCTTAACTAGTTTTCAG